TAGCTCCCGAATTCTAATATACTAGTTTCATTATTTGAACTCCTGCTTATATCAGTCTCCCAAGTTCAATTGCAGTGATGACAGTTTAACAGTAAACGCGTATTGTACAGTGTTTCGATATTATATGTACTTATATACTGTAACTATTTGAAGTAACGATTTAAACTTTAATTTACCTTTTTTTTATAATTATTGAACTATGAAAGCGTTTTATAGTGTGATGATTTAACTAACTATGTAAATATTTACAGTTTAATCTACTAAATATGTATAACTACTTAATTGTGGAAGTTTTGTGTAAATTAACTCAGCATTTAGATAAATATAACAATATATATGTCTGATGTTTCAAGAAAGACTTAAACAGGACCACAGTTAATGAAATAAATGATTAGTATTCGTGAGATTGGAATAAACTGGGTCCAGTCTCACGTAAATAAAAAAATAATTTTACATGAAAGTTACGAAAGAAAACATACATACTCGCGTGAGAATGAACTAAGTTTGACTCTCTACGGAGATGCTGAATTATTTGAGTTACATAATAGACCGTGCATACTTTTGCAAAACCACGCTCAAATTATAACTCGATGTTAATTAACAGTTAATTGAACTCCGAGTTACGTACAACATAGATCGCACCACATCATGATTGATAGAATCGATATTTTCGGAACTTGGACAATTCAGCATCCATTAGTACATTATAAACTGATCTCAAAAGCACGGTTGATGTGACCAAATTACGTCCTAATTCAAACAGGTGCAACTAAAATATAATGTGTTTTACCATTACTTTAGAAATGTTTCTGTCATCAACGATCTTGGTACTTGCGTACAACAATGATATTAATAAGTTTGTGTCCATTACATACACGTCTGACTTGACAGTACAGTGTCACACGTAATACATGAATATATTTGATAGATTTTTATAATGGGTCACGACAGAATGGATTTCAGGCAAAAATTGTCAGTGTAATTTTGTCAGATATATTTGCTGCCGTAATTTGAGTATATTGCAGCGCTTTTAACTGTTATCTATTAGAATTGTGATCGATGTGCGACTCCTTTGTGATGCTAATTCTTCTAGCATCAGAAGCTACTAATATACGCTTCGGAACAGCCAATTAACTGTCACCCATCTATTCCCATGTGTTACAACGCTTCATCTAAATGCAGCAAATCTTTTCTCCAAATTAGTCGTAAAAACAAAACACGTACAGTAAAACCATTTATTTTCCTTGGCATTTAATCTCACTATTTTGATGTTTTGAGCAAATTCATTAGACTTGCCAGGGAAACAATGAGTTGTATTGTTATTTCGACATGTTCACATGGGCACAATTTAAGAATTTCGCTTATCAAAGAAAATAACGAAATTAAAAACCAGCAAATACTTAATACACTTAATGTTTTTAAGTTGTCCATATTTAATTCCGTATATCGACAAAACAAACCCATTCCTTGCATCTTTATAAATATTTATAAATTTCACATTCGAAAGAATCATATAGACCGATGGAATAGTATTAAACAATTGCGTCATTGCGCCCTGTGCTCGTTGATTGGCTGGTTTAATTCAATTTCTCTTGAAATTTGTAAATATTAATAAAATGAAGAGGATGGGTTTGTTGTGTCGATAGTAATTTCAAACACATGTTCATACTTTCAATGCGTGTTATACCATTTTAAATGCTT